ATCTATCTATCTATCTATCTATCTATCTATCTATCTATCTATCTATCTATCTATCTATCTATCCTATCCTATCCTATCCTATCCTATCCTACCCATTCATCCATGTCATCCTTCCCTCTCCCTCCCTCCAGATAAATTGCAGGCAATATAGACAAGGTTAATCATATCACTTTTTAAAGAAACATAACTAAATGGCACAAAATCCACCTCCTCAAGCAAACCCCCATTATCTGAAGAGTCTATCCATTCTGCCAGAAAGCAAAGAAGAAAACATACTGAGCTCCTTTACACAATCATTTACAAGTTGCTGTTCTTTCTCTTCATAAGTAATGGTTTCAGTCTTCAGGTGGCAGGCCTGTTTACAATATCAAGAAATGAAAAACTGAATTAACATCTCGCTACTGTAGCACTGCTATTTGATTTTTTTAAAATAAGTTTTTCATAACAGTACACAGTATTCAAGGACAGCCAAAACTTTCATCCTTTCCTTTTCCTCTGCAACTATAGTGAATAACAAACTGCTGCTAATGTTGAAAAGAGAAAAAGAGAGAAATATATAAAAATAATTTCAAGACATCAGGGATAATTGAAATATAAAAATGTACAGATAGTCCTCTACTCATGACCACAATTGAACCCAACATTTTTGTTAAGCGAAACATTTGTTAAGTGAGTTTTGCTCCAGTTTATAATTTCTCTTACCATAGTTGATAAGCAAATTACGTCAGTTGTTAAGTTAGTAATACTGCTGTTAAATGAATCTGCCTTGACCTTGTCAGAAGGTTGCAAAAGGGGATTGAGTGACCCTGGGACATTGCAACCGCAATAACAATGAATCAATTGCCAAGCATCCGAATTTTGATCACATGAATGTGGGGCTGCTGCAATGGTTGTAACTGTGAACAATGGTCATAAGTCCTTTTGTTCACTGCCTTTGTAACTTTGAACAGTCACCAAATGAACTGTTGTAAGTCAGGGAACTGTAATCTATTTGATGAAGAAATTTCAATATTACATTTATTTCACAGATACTTCAAGGGAAAAATATACTCACTAACAAACCTGAAAAAAAATGCCAACATGTTCAAGAATCATTTAAATGGATATGTTTTAATTATACTGAATATAAATTATAATAAACCTCAAAAGATGATTTAATTCTATAAAGTGAATTACATAATTTTGCAAAGTGATCATGACATGATCGTTCTAGACTTCATGATGACAAAACCATTTTAAAGCTTATCATAAACACCTTCCCAACAATATAGCAATACAATAGTAATAATTAAATGTGCTACTCAATATCAGTCAATGCAAGGATACACTTAGTCCTTGACTTATGATCATTTGTTCAGTGACTGTTTAAAATAACTAAAATGCTGAACAAAGTGATTTACAATTTGTGCCCAAAGTTACAGCCATTGCAGGGCATGATGAAAATTCAGATGCTTGGAAGTCTGCTTGCACTCAAGACTACAGAGGCAATTCCCCACCCACCTATCCCTCCCACCATTTCAGCCTCAATCCCCCATCCAGTCCAACAGTGTGCCCGAAACTGCAGGAGCCCTGGAGGTCGCTGCCTGTTCTCCATTCCACCATGCCCAGGAGGCCCAAACCTGCTTCTCATCCCATTATGCCCAGGGTTACAGGGGCCATCTAGACAAAATTTGTCCTACTTACGTTTGCAAGGTTTCTGACTATTACAAGGTCTGGGCTTCCTATTAAGATAGCCTTGAACCATTCTGCAAGCAGGCACCATTCTTGCGATTATTAAGAAGATTCTTTCTATGTTTTTTCTAGCCTTCCAAATGATCACAATAGCATACACTTTTCAGAAGAAGGCTTCCAAAGCACCATAAGAGCAGGCATCATTCTCACAGTTATTCAGAAGGCTACTTCTGCAATTCACACAATTTGGAGAATGAGCCTTTCAAATAATCATGAGAATAGTGTTTACTGGTATAGGGAAACATAAGTCAGAAGATCATGCCTCACAATAGGTGGGATATGCTTGTCAGCAGCTGCAGAAAAAAACATAAAGTGGGATAATTTGCATAAAGATGCAAAGCATCTGTATCTGGGCAAGGCCTCCCGGTTATGGTGGTTTTGATAGTGAGCTAGACCTCCTAGGCCATGGTAGGTTTCTGGGAACTGGTGGGCCCTTAAGATTGCACTGGGTTTCCCAGAACCTCCCTGAGGCACCCCAAATTTGTTACATTGGACTATGTCCAATCACAATCAGAAATGCCAAGATTGTAGATATTGAGCAAAGCAGTCAGTGAGATTTCACTTAACAATTGCTTTGCTCAATAACCAAGATTTGTGTCAACTGTGCATTGTGAAGAAAGGTAAATCTCAAAGCACTGTTACTGTATATCCTCAATATTGTAGCTATCTTTCTACCATTTATTATTCATAACTGAAGAATAAAAGCCTCTCCAATTAATATTATCAGTTATAATCTACCACATCAATGCAGTATAGGCTAATAGATTGATTTTTTAAAAATTTCCCAGTCTACATTTCCGAAAGAGTGACTGGTCCAAAGTCTCCAAGCCAGCTTCTATGCCTAAGGGGAGACTAGAGACACAGATTTCATTGTTCTTAGTTCAGCACTTTATATACATTTGTCTGTCTATCATTGGTTCTTACTGATCTACACCCATATCTGTATTGATATGTTTGTATCTGTATCTATGTTTATGTTTATATTTATATCAAGTAATGTAATTTGGTAGAATGTAGACAATATAGAATAACACAGGTTTTTTTAGATTTGAACAAATAATCAAATTAATTTTTATTAAAAGGTTTTCCTAAGATTACAGCTTAGATAAATATTTTAGAGCAGGGGTGACTAATTTGTGGCCTATTGGATGCATGTGACCATAGGCAGCTAGTAATGTGGCCCCACAAAACCATAAAATGTTAACATTATGTGTATATTATGCATTTTATATGTAGCTCGATATAATTCCTTTTCACTCAGTGCAGCCCAGGCAAGTGAAGACTATTCTCCTAGCTCTTACAATAAGAAGATTCTTGGCAAAGTATATTCTTTATCTTCCCTGAAAATAAATATCTATTCTTAATATCTAAATTCTAGATAATATCTAGAAGACGGGGTCCTCCCCCCCCCCCCCCGATTTATCCTTCTACTCTTTCCAAATCTTTTTCTCTTCAGTATTTTGTCCTCCAGAATTTCAAGTGTGAGTATATGTACTGTGTTATGCAGCACATATTTGGCCCATTTAAACCTGGAAAAAAAATCTCATCATTCTGCTATAAATAATACACATAATTCTGTAGTCTGTTATTCAACAACAGTTTGTCCCAACTCTAAATGTTGCATCTGGAAACAGAAATCAATGTGTACATAAGGGTGTTGACATTTATGTCTTTTTGTCAAGCTGCTAATATATATAGAGAAAACAGAAGACAAATTTATGATTGCTAAAAAGTTATAAAGTTTACCTCTGATCTAAGGACAACATTCTCCTCTTCAAGATCTTTCAGCTTCTTTTGAAGAGAATCAAAATGAAAATAATTCTGGACAGTTGAAGATGATTCATTCCTCTTCAATCTAGTAAAATATATATTTTAAAGCATTTATAGATAGCCCCTTTTATTTACAATCTCTCTAGAGAGTTGTACAACAACCTTTCAACAATAATACTGGTTAAAGTACAAGAATTTCATAGAATTTTGGCAGATTAACTCAGTTTAGGATTTCCTTTTCTCTACACACTTTTAATGTGGAAATTTAAGTAATAACAAAAAAATAAATTTCTACATAAAATTACAAAAAAACTGTCAAAATTTTTTTAAACGAATCTTCATATTGTAAGGCATATATAAATAATTAAGGAGCAGTAAATATATATATAAGAACAAATATTTCAAACTGTTTTGGGCAAAGAACCTTCTGAAACATCCCAAACTAAATATAGTTGTTTCAAACATTTTAAAAGTATTTTGAGCTTTCTATGAAATTTCACACTTGAAACCGTTTTACACAGCCTAAGTAACATTTCTGTTTTCCATTCTAGACCTACGGAGTTGAACAGATGGAATCTGGCTCGCTCTCTTCAGCAGCACTGGTATAAAACTGAAGAAGCTCATCTTTCATGGATAGCTCATGACGCAGTTGAGAAACCTGAACAAATTAAAGGGGAAAACAGCTATCATATAAGTGATTGCATTTTAAGTAGCAACAGAAAACTGTTCCACACTATGAAAACTTTAGATCACAAATTCCATGCCTATATTTAGAGTGCTACCACAACTTTTCATTCAAAGCAGTCAATTCATCACTGTGTTTTATCTAAAGGAAATCTTCAAGTTGCAATTGTAATGGAGCCTGCCCCTCACTAGCCCAATTTTATAAGTTTTGGTAGTTGTCATTCAGCAAATATAACAGTGGTAAATGTGAACCTATCATTTGCTATGTGTGCGGTTTTGCTGTGTTGTAAAGTTCCAGTTTTCAACCATTGTAAAATGTGGAACATTCAAATGGTCACAAATGCATCTATGTTGCCAAGCACCTGAAATGCTGTCATGTGACTGCAAGGGGCAACTTTGGATCCAAGCCATAAATCACCTTTCTCAAGTAGGTTATAACATCAAATAGTTGTCAATGATCAGTTATAAGTCAAGGACTAACCTGTATAGTTGTAGCTATTTAGATTATATACACCAATGGGAACTTTCCATAATTTGGTGACAAACACAATATAAGATTTCATAATGCTAGTGTAATGTTGTAACCTATATCTATGTACATTATTTATTGATAACATTTTATTGGCTGCCCATCTTACCTCAAAATAACTAATCATCAAGTCTATTCCTCTCCTCAAACTATATTAAGTTAACAAAGTATGATACATGGCCAGTAACATTAATAAAATGGGCTTCACAAATTTCTGTATAGAGTTCAAAATGCAAAATCATCTCAACTCTTTAAAAAGGTTTCTTCAAATGTTTCCTTTACCACAGGGACAGAAAACTTGCAACTCTATTGTTACTATGCCTCAAGTCATAGCATTTCTCATTACAGACCATTGTACTATCAATAGTAACATCTGGAGGGGCACTTATCCACCATCTTAGCTTTAGGAAAGGAGAGGACCCTGCCCATTGCAACAGCTGTTAAATGAAATGGCCTCACTTAATCACCCCATCCACTGCTCTGCCTGATGCAGCCATTAATGAACACACACATCATTAAGGGAACAAGGTGCTTCAGAAGCGGAGGAGGGCCAGTGCTGGCCATACCCACCTGACCTGGGCCTCCCCCACCCCTACTTTTCACAACTTGGGTCCCTAGAGGTCTTTTCCTTCCCCAACAGCTCCCTGCTGGGCTTTCCCCCTCACACCAAGTCCTTGCAAGCATTTCCATCACCCAGGAGCTCCCCACTGGCCTTATGCCTGATTCCCATTCCATCTGGTGCCACAAACTCCTCCTCATTTATCTTTGAAGAGCTTCAAAGCCTTCCATAGCATGGGAATGGGTTGCTTTGTCACTTGGAGCATGGCACGATTCTGGAATTGGCCATACAGCTGAAAGGAATAACCACTCCATTAAAAGCCTTAATGCAGTCCACTTGTGGGTAGTCCAAAATGCCAGCCACTTCACAAATAAGGGACAAAATACTGTATTGCTTCCCTAATATTGTCTCCATAAGTTTCTGAAGGCCTAGAGCTATCTGCAGTGCTATAAAGACTGTGTTATGCCCTACTTTTAAGAAGATTTTTTTCATTTTAATCACGAGAAGCAAGAACCAGTACCAAATCCATTTTGAACAAATATAAAGTCTGTGAACTGAATTTAAATTTGTGAAACTGAATTTCACAAAGCCCTAGTACTTGAACTGACATCACTGAAATATTAACAGAATATCTATTTTATAGCATTAAGTGTACACAAGGAGTTGCTAGAGAAATTTATTCATTTATTAACTTTGGGCAGCTTTCAAGATGATGAAAGTTAAAGTATTTGTATACAGGTAGTCTTCAACTTATGACATAATGACTGGTCAAAGTATGATAGATATCTCCAAAGCTACTTAAAACCCTTTATCAAAGTTAGGTGGCCACACAATCAGATTTTGGGTACTTGGCTCATCTTTATAGTCATTGAAGTATTCCCCGGTGACATGATTGTAATATGCAATGGTTTTTTTTTGCCAGTTTCTAGTATTTACTTCCAGTTTCTGGCAAAAAAAACAAAACACCTATTGGGGAGAATGGATTTGGTTAATGACTGCACCACTTGCTTAATGACCATGGTCTTTGCTTTGCAACCACTGCAAAAAATGTTGGAAAAATTAGGTCCATTTATGTAATGTCTCAACTTTTGACTGAAATGACTTGCAACCATAATTCCAGGCTCAGTTAAGGTTGCAAGTCAAGGTCTCCCTTTATAGCAATTTCACATAAAGAACCAGAAAATACTCTTATAAAACTTCTAGAATAAATCAAAATAATAAAAATTTAAAATGTTAGGCCATACTGCTGATTGAGAGAGAATTAGGTCCTTTGTGCAAGGAAAGAATATACTACATATTAGCAATAGTGCTTTATGAGATGAGAAACAAAAAGTCAATTTACAATCAAAATCAATTTTTAATTCACAAAACACATTATATATGAAATATAGGGTACTAAAATATATTCTGGAACATGCATTCTTTTTTTAAGCTTAGAATATACAGTATATATGTTTCAATTTATGTCCCTGCTTAAACATGATAGTCATTTGGGCAACTTTGGGCCAGCCACTCACCTCACAGATTTGTTGCTGTGAGTAAAATAAGAGGAAGGAGTATTAGGTATGTTTGTTGTCTTGAAGTATTTATAAAAACAATAAAGTGGGAAATAAATAAATAAAGTTGGGAAGTCAAACAGGTAATGCATCCATTGTTACTATCTGCTTAAATCTGAATCCTCTACATCTATTATGAAACAGACAAGGAAAATATATATCAGCAAATAAAGCCAAGCAGGTTTTATTTGAAGCAGGAATGAGCAAATATTCTGTGTATGAAACAGGTTAGGCATACGTGACTATTCTTACCTCTTCCCTGATATGTTCTACTTGTTCTTCAAGAAGTTCATTTCTCTCTGTAAGTATTTTATTCTTCTTCAGCAATGACTGGCCAATTCGAGCAGCTAATTCTAAATCCCGTTCTTTCTGAGGAAGGAAGGAAGGAAGGAAGGAAGGAAGGAAGGAAGGAAGGAAGGAAGGAAGGAAGGAAGGAAGGAAGGAAGGAAGGAAGG